CATTAATTGAAAAGTAAAAGGTCACATCCTAGTAAACTAATGTAATAGTACTCAAATTCAATATTAGGAATCCTCATAAAGTTCTCATGGATTTAATCCAATCTTGCCTCTGTTAACTAATCAGATCTGATTATGCTCTTATTATGTGATTTTATTATAAGTCCCCTATAAGAGATCATGAACTAGCTATGAACCACTTCTTACCATAAAATTTAACTTACAAAAATCATCAATGTTGTACCCAATTCACATCCCAATTTGATTGATAACCAATGAAGATCTGATTTTTAACTCAATGTAGAGATTACAATGATTAAATCCAAGATCATAGTCAAACCTAACCATGAAAAAAAGAATCTGAATCTGTATCCATAAATTGTAGGAATATGTTTCTAATTTACTCAACGTAGATATTTAATATCCTCAAAGCAAATCCTTAACCTTATATGATTGTTTTCTCACAAAATCAAGTCTCCCTCATTATTATATAATATCATCCACACAATTCCTGGTTCTTGGATACCATGTATATTAACAAATAGGAAAACCACTCTCGGGATTGATAATCTAGAAAATCAAATGCACATGTATCACAAAGTGTATTTGTTGTACATATACATCTACATTGAGTTAAGCTTAAAAACATTCCTCTCACATGACCTAACGGTGCTAAGATACTAGCCTAGCTGGAGATAACTAAAAAGTTTTCAAGTCTACTAATATCCCGGTTGGCTAACACTTAAAGAACATCCAAGTTCAGTCACATGAACTAGCTGGAGCTAAATGGTTTGGTTTAGATAATCCAGTTGGACAAAATAACTTAACCCCCCAAAAAAAACACAGACAACCATGAACTTGTAGTTGTTGCTAGGGTGAGGGCTAGTGACTGAACAAACTTTCATGGTAGCTTAACTTATGAAGCTTCAGACTAGTCTAAAAAACCTATCTATGCTCATAGACTAAGTCCGTATACACTTGGCTTGAGAAGGAAAAATAATTAACTGTTAAGATAGAAATGAAGTTGGATACGGAATCAAAGGAGTAAACACACAAAAAAAAAAGATATTGCAAGGGGAACGAGCCTAATATTATACATGATCAGACTCATATTCCTATTTTAAAAGTTACAATAGTTATGTACAGGATGAGATTCCAATTATCTAACCAAGGCTCTGATAACACTAAAAAACCTTGTCATGCCCTGGTACCAATTTTGATCATTTAGAGCATGACTCAGCCGGTAATACAACCACAAACAATTTATAACTAATGTTGTTTGTCTAGTGCTTGTGTTATCTATTCATTGTAGACAAATAACTTGTTGGAGGATGGATGGATTGCGCCATAACGACGATATCAAATGGAGGTTGGCGGAATTGTGGAGTGAAGCATCGTACGATTCAAGTTCAAGATCCAAGTTTAGCTTCATCCGCAATTGTTTGTCTAGTGCTTGTGTTATCTATTCATTGTAGACAAATAACTTGTTGGAGGATGGATGGATTGCGCCATAACGACGATATCAAATGGAGGTTGGCGGAATTGTGGAGTGAAGCATCGTACGATTCAAGTTCAAGATCCAAGTTTAGCTTCATCCGCAAGTGTACCAAGTCAAGCTTAATTGAAGATCAAGATTGCTTGGGTAATGTAGTTTAAAATAAGTTTTGGACTATATTTACATCATAAACAACTTTTATTATGTCCATATAAATATTCCATAAGTTTTCAAAACTTGTTTTGAGTCAAAAATAACAATCACATGTTTTTCATATATACGTCTTTTAGTACACTTGCAGAATACAGTGTTTTTCACAAATTATAAATGCAAATTGAGAAATTCTTTTTCTAACATGTTTGTTTTCATGTTTACAAATATTTTGCAAAGTTTCATCAAGTTTGGAATTGATTTGTTATGTTTAATGGAATTTACAAAATCATAATTTTCATTCGTGCATGTTCGTGCATGTTTTACAAAATAGATGAGTTTTCATAAATGGAAAATGGATATTTGAAAAATTCTTTCTCTGATATGTTTATCTACATGTTTAGAAACTTTTCTCCAGTTTTTACTATTTTTGGAGTTGATTTACTGTGCCCAATTGATTTTACAAAATCGTGTATGTCAGCAGATTTTCAGAAACTGTATATCTGTGTTCAAACATTTATTTCTCTCAACTGGGAAATGATTTTTTAGAAATTTTTTCTCTAACATGTTCTTATACATGTCTAGAACATTCCCTCAAAATTTCACAAATTTTGGAGTTGATATACTATTTTTTAACTGATTTTATAAAACCGGATGTATCTGCTACAGTTCCGGTCGACCGAGCTACAGTTCCGGTCGACCGAGCTACAGTTCCGGTCGACCGATCTACAGTTCCGGTCGACCGACGGTCAGTTCCGGTCGACCGATCTACAGTTCCGGTCGACCGATGGTCTTTCTGTTCTGTTTTGTGTTATTTGCGGTCGACCGCTCCGGTCGACCGCCGCTCTGTCAGGTTGATTCTAACGGTTTTTGCTGTTGTTTCCTCTTCCTATATAAACCCCCAAACCCCCTTCTATCTCAGTAACCAATGAGATGTTTTAAACAAGTTTATAAAAGTTTTAACAGGGGTTTAAGTTTGGTTTAAAGCTGTTTTGGTTGGTTCACAAGTGGAGGAGATCATCTACTTTGTTTGAGCTTCATTTTAATCCTCCTCTCCAACTTGATTTTCAGAGAAGAATTCCTAAACTCTATTTCTAGCTATTTATTGTTTTATTCATAATTTCTACATGCTAGATTTTAATTGAGTTTAGTTATTTTGATTTATTGAATCTCATTGTTACACACACCCACTTGAGCTTTTAGTATTTACATACATAGTATAGTTCGGTGGTGAGAGATTATAACTTTGAGTTGTGCTTATTTGAGTTCTCATCTATTGTAGAGAACAAATTTATATTTGTTACATTGTGAGTGTTGTAAGGTTTTCGGTGAGCTAGAAAACCGAGTGTGTTGTGAAGTTTTCGGTGAACTAGAAACCGAGTGTGAGGAGTGAACGTTGTTCGGTGAGCATTGAAAACCGACACTGTGTGGTTGTAAACGTTATTCGGGTGAGCGTAGAAAACCCGGTTGTGATAGTGGATTTCTCCCCGGGAGTGGGGAGCGGAGACGTAGGACGGAAGGTCCGAACTCCGTGATCATATTGTGTGTTTGAGTGTGCTTTGGCGTTTATTTATACTTATGTTTATATCTCTTGTCGCCATTGTCATTAGCTCATTATTTATATGATCCACTATCTATTTCATATTGTTTACCCCTTGTGTTTGTTTATATATCTTTGCATATATATTTTTCATCATATAGGATATATCTCATTGTTTATATTGCATATTCTTGCTCATTATTAGTAGTATATCCATCTTGCAAGAATATACTTATTAATTAGTTTTAATTGGTATTTAATCGGATTAAATTAGCATAAGACCCTAATCACCCCCCTCTAGGGTCTAACACATAATGGTTACAACTTTTTAACAGTTTCACTGTTTTATGTTGCTATTTGTGTGAAGCTGACCAGCACAACCATATACTCATAAGGAAAGGCTGTGATGGCCATGATGAAAACTGAGGAATATCTTCCTGTTTGAGTGAATAGCCAACAGACACAACGATATATTCTAATAGGTTCTTTTCTCTTAGTAAGTCATCTATAATTGGTTACCAAGGTTTTAAATATCGGTTTTCGGGGACTTATCGGACGGTCAAAATCCATATAGGATAGCAGATATCTGGGATATATTGGGGATAAGTAGTATTTATCTGAGTGACATTACCGGATGGTGATATACATAATATAATATTCTAAAATGTAATCTAACCATACTTAATGAAATACAAACATACCAAAATGTAAATAATTATGTTAGGATCACAAACTAGTAGTAGAAACTCGGGTTGGATCGGCTTTAAAGTGCATTGAATAGGTGCCCGTTGCACGAAATTAAAACTCAAACAAAAGGCCGATAATTCCAATTTTTAGACCAACAATATCAGCCAATAACTCACTTTATCGCCACATTATTGGAGACAAAATCCAAAAATGATAATTGATTTAGAATCGAACTTATCATAGCGGAAGGCCCCCAAAACTGATAAATCACCGATAATATCGGTTTATCAACCGATCTTTAAAACATTGTTAGTTACTGATTCTAAACATATACTATTTACATTTATGGTAAGAGTTTATCAAGTATGCTTTGATTATATTTTAGGATATTATATTATACATGCACATTACCCAATATGGCACTCAATATTTTCCCATTATGTGCAATATGATATGGATTTTGTTGTCCAATATTTCTCTGATATCGATATTTATAACATTGCTTACTGGTTCTCAAATATAAGGCTTGTGCAAATAAGGACTCCAATTTTTCTAGAAGCCACATGTGAAACACACCAAAAATTACCCAACTCTTTGTTACACCAACTACATACTATATGTATATAAAGTTTTTTTTTTTCTTTCAGCACTTTTTTCATCCTACCATTTGAATATGGTCCAATAGTTATTTTTATGAACAGAAATTCCCTTTCTTTTACAATTACTTTTGTAGTTAGTAAAATTATTAATCAGATAAAATTTACAAAAAAATAGTTTTAACTAAATATAATTACCTACGACATTCCTTCCTAAATCCAAATGAAAGTCCATATTCCTATCCTTATATTAATTCTAGATATATATTCTAATAGAGTTTATATTTATACCTAAACTAAATTTGTTTCTACACTTTAATATGAATATTTTAGTAAAAGGGAAAATGAATTAGTCAAAAAATTGTTATTCTACAGAATTGACGACTCCCTCATCTGGATAGTGCTTTGAATATTTTCTGTCCTGCAGAAGGTTGAATTAAGAGCGATAGTGTGCAAAAAGACTATCTTTTCATGCCTATTTTTGCCCTAATAATAAAACAAAAAAGTGATAATTTTTAATCAAATTGTTACTCACCGAATTGACGCCAAGATTTGGAGACGGCACTGACACGCACGAGATCGGCCGGATCGTC